AGAACTCCCAACTTAACAAGTAAACCGCCTTAGCAAAATCAACTTTAAAAATGAAAGCTTTTTTCTTCACTTTTCTGGTTCAAGCAAAAATTTCATTAAGAAAGTGGATCATCAAGGATGCTTCTCCCACCAACATAAGTTATTCTCTCATGACTAATGATTTTTTTCAACACCTTCTTCAAACGATTAGCAAGAACTTTCAATAACACCTTATATAAGCAACCCACAAGGTTAATGGATATATAGTCTTTTAAATAAAGAGGAACTCTAACCTTGGGAATAAGAGAGATAAAGGAAGAATCTTATCCTTTAGCCAATACCCTCGAGCTCTCAAAGTCTTTCACAAACATAACAACATCCAATTTTATCAACTCCCAATAATTCTTCAAGAATGTAAAAGTAAATATGTCCAGACGCGACACCTTCTCACTCCCACAACACCAAACCGCTTCCTTGATCTCAGTCTCAGTAAAAGACTCGGTAATGGCAACCCTATCTTCACACGAAATCTTTTTAAACCCGATGCTCATGAGTTTAGGTCGGTTGCTCATAGGCTCATTAAACTTAACATAAAAGAAATCCCAAATTGCATTAGAAATTTTTTTTTAGGATCATGCACCCATAACCCATCAATAGATAGCCCATGAATACAATTTATTTCTTTTGTTGTTGTTACCGATCCCGTGAAAAATGTATAGTTTTAGTCCCCATTCACCTCCCATTTCATTCGAGCCTTCTTTTTGAGACCCATCGTGTGAATAAAGTCAATCACCAACACTCTTTGTTTCCATAATTGCCTATTCTCCTTCTTAGGTGACGGCAAAGGTCTATCTTCAACTGCGATTTCAAGGTTATCAATCTTCATCATTAACTCCTTCTATTCTCCCAGCTCTCATATCCTCCCATCAACTCTCCATAGCTCTCCATCTCTTTAATTCATTCCTGACAACAATAAACTTTTTTGCAAGCCTACAATCATTCGTACCTGAATGAGATGATTGAACCCACACCTTTTTGACAATATCATCAAGCCCATCAACCCTCAACCAAGAATTAAAGAAACTAAACGGGCTCGGCCCAAAGTCAAAACAATCGTTAACAGTTATGATAGGATAGTGATTCGCGAATCTTTTGGGATGAATTGTAGCTAATTTCATACCCCAATTACTTATAAATGTACCACATGCAAGGAAACGATACAATTTACTTAAGCAACTTCGTCTTCACTCGTCCAAGTAAGTTTTCATCATCCTAATCTAAACTCAAAGAGCTTAGCATCTAGAATAAAAGAATTAAAATATTCAATAGAAACCTCAGAGCCACGATTAGAAAGCCTCTCAAATTTGTTTCTGACTTCGTTGAAGTCACCCATCAATAACCAACAACCATCCCGCAAATCAATAACATATTTTTGATGCAACTATAAAGCCATTCTAGCTACGTCATCAACATGGGCATAAATATTTAGAATGTTTGTAACACCTTGTATCCCACTCCAATAACCAAAAAGAAGAATATAATTGGGAATCATAATGACATTTACCTATTTTAAAAAGGGGGTTCCAAACGCTACATAAGCCTCCGGATCTTCCATATGACTCTACACCAACAAACTCGAAATCAGAGTAATCCCAGAAAAAATCCACATGAATATCCTTTACATCTTGAAGTTGAGTCTCTTATATGCAAAGGATGTTAATACCATGAAGAATTTTTAACTCTCTCACCCAAACCTTCAACACCTCTGATGTTAACATATAAGCATGATAAACACATTGAATACCTTCACCTTCAAGCATTGATCTGAGCACATGAGAAGAACCCTCAAGATAATATCCAATGTTGTTGTGCATCTCCATCATTTTTTCCACTTCCTTAGTCATGGAAGACATCTAGTTTGTACTACTAAGTTGACTAGTTTCATCTAAACCTACAAGTACCTTTCACCTAGTGGACCAACCAGCTAATGCTTAACCACTTTCACTTATATTCAAGCTTGGACATCAAATTATTTTTTTGAGAAATTAAATATCCTCCTACATTTTTTCCTACATATCATCCTACTCATCTTAGATGCTCCATTTTTAATTTATCTACATTTTTAATTTAAGATGGGTAAAAGGGTATATATAAAGAATATATATAGGAGGATATTAAATTTCTTTACACTTTTAGAACGACAAAAAATTGAATAAACACAAAACACTAGTAAGAAGCTAAACAAGGAGTTACAACTTACAAGCCATTATAGACGGAATGCCCCGATTAGAAGAGATAAGTTTAACGTTATCTATAACTACTAATTAAATGGTCACTTTTGTCGCCTTTCGTCATTAAATTAGTTGCTCTAGGGACATTGTGATTTACATCTTCCTTATCACTTGTGAGACATATTGGTGTGGGATGTCGATTAAGTTTACGTTTTTATTAGATTAAGCACAGAGCATAATGTTATTCGCATGTATCTTATGCAATAAATAGCGCGGATCGTTTGAACCATGTTTTTTCCTTCGGATATAATATAGAACTAGTCCATATATAATTGAAAAAACTTCAAAATGGTCCCTGTGGTTTCATGAAATTAGAAGTTTGGTCCCAAATTTTAGAAAACCTCACGGATTGTCCGTGTGGTTTCAAAAACTTTTAATGCTTAGTCCTTCCAGCTCACTTCGTTACCATTTAGCCGTTTACTCATTTTTCAATATTATATTGCAGAGGAAATGTTGTTATTTCACTTGTAACCTTCACTCTTTAAAAGAAAGATTACATGCATGATGTTTGTGCAAACCCTTTATCTGCGATCGTCATCTCTTTTCTCCCTTCCACTGTTGATCGACCATTGCACCCTTTTCAATATCCAATCGCTTCACATTCAAATATGGTGACTTGAAAATGTGGGAATGAAGCAATTAAGATCACTTCATGGATGGATCGTAACCCTAGAAGGAAATTTTGGAAATATACAAGATGTGGGTTCCTTCGATGGTCTGACCCTCCTATGTGTGCTAGGGCATTGGTGGTGATTCCAGGTTTGATAAGATCAATGAATCGATTGGAAGAGAGGGTTGCTTTTGCGAGTGCAGAACTGTGGAACTACCAGCTGATGTTGTTTTGTTCATGGGTGTTCTTTTTTGGTTTTATTTTAATCAGTAAGTATCTTGTGAAAGTATGGATGGTAATGGAATTTGGGTTTTTGGTTTGTAACCGATGTAGGGGTTTTTGGATTTTAATTGAATATGAGGTTTTTGCTTTCAGTTTATGTATGGGGGTTTTGGAATTGATGTTGTTGTATTTTGGTTTATGTATCAGATCAATGTAATAGAATTGTAATGAACTTTAGTTTCTAGTAAATCAATAGTATGCAATGGTAATGAAATGTACTTTGTTATAGTTGAAATGTTGGATTTCTTGAATGTTTTCATTTGTAATTGTTAAATGTATTGTAAATGCATCTTTTGGACGGTTTGATGTACAATTGAAATGCACATTCTTATAAGTGAATAGTTGAAGGGTAGTACACAAAACACATTGATTCATTGGCAAAATGTGCATACACACCATTACATACCAAGTTGTAAAGGTCTTAACACAACCATCCTACTATGTTCAAAACAAGTAAACATGATTTAAGTTCTTAACCCATACACATTACAGTTTCAAAAAAACAAACATGACTTAAGTTTCAAAAGACCTATAACACAAACATCCTAATAACTACTAAACATATTTTTTAGCCCCCAACTTCACCACTGCCTCCCTTCCCTTTACATGTTCTGCAATTATTCCCCTTGTTATGACACTTTGAACAAGTGATTGTCAGATATTTCCTGCTCAATTTATCTGCTTGGCTGTTGGGCTCATCAACACCCCTCCTTCTCTTCTTCTTAGGCCTCCTAACCTAGACATATTAATATATTATAGTTAAAAATGAATCAATTCCATGTTCACATTTAAACTACATATTAGGCCTAATTGAAATACAAACCTATGTTTTATGTTTTGGTGTATTTAAAGTGAATGGGTAGTCACTTTTAGACCACATTGAGCGTCCATTCAGTGGATCAATTTTGTTGAAATACATGGCTTTCCATGTCGATAGCCTCTAGAAATTATGGACCCATTCATCAACATGTGGGGAATTTTCTCCATTTTCAATTCTGACCTATATAGCACAAACAGCATGTCTACATGGAAAACATGTAATCTCCCAAAACCTACAGCTGCAACATTTCTCATTCAATTTTACCACGTATTAATCTTGCCATGTGCTTGAAACTTGGTACTTTCCTGCCCCATTGTATTTAGCCACATACTTAGTTGCATCAATCTTAATCTTGTTAAACACTACAATTGTTGTTAGGGTTAGTAGTCCTTCCAACTTATCAATTTCCTTTTGCACCCCACACAATCTCTTCAGAACATACTCTCTAATATACTCTAAGCAAGTGATAATAAGTTTATCCCTACCCTCATCTAGCTTTGAATTAAATAACTCACAAAGATTATTCAACAAACAGTCAGTGTGTACCCTACCTATATAACACATATTAAGAGAAGACAATTACACATATAGTAAAAACACAACAAACAAGATTAACATTTATCATTACATTTATGTTCAAGCTTTAACTACCCTGGTTTGCAAAAATTTATGTTCATCTTGAACTGTTTTCACCAACCAATCCTGATTTTCATTAGCCCTCGAGATTTGGGCTGCCTAAGGACATGTTCCTTTATTGGCAATTACATCTTTACCCTTGCACTTTTTCCTAGTTGAGGGCCCACCACCATCAACTACTTTAGATTACTGACTTACAACACTTTTAGATTTCACCCTAATCCTGATTTTGTCATTTTTTTGCTAAGTATAGAGACCTCCTGGTTTCTACAGCATGTGTATCCATGAAGCTTTTAACATCACGCTTGGTTTTAAAGACCTAGCCCGCCTTAAATGGTTTTACATAAACCTCTCCATGTGAGCATCTACTTAACTTACTTAACTACTTAAGCATTCTCTTCATGTCATCTTCATGAAATCCTGCAAACCGATAATCATCAATCGCAATAACTTCAAACTCATTATCAATCATGTCATTACCTTCATTTGGTGAATGATTGATTAAGATTCCATGTTCATCTACATCAACAACATTATGGAATTCACCCATGTCTACATCAACATCAAAATGTATGTTAGACTCATCCACATTATAGTCACTATCATCATAATCATCTCTACTACCCTCAGAACAATATCCATTCTCATAATAGAAAGCCTCTCCACTATCATCACTTAACATACCCTCTAGATAATCTACTTCAGGTTGATGTTCACATGAAGTTTGGACATTATACTCAGCATCATAGTCAGCATAAACAGAATAATCCTCTACAAATGGTTCAAACTCATCAATTGTTACAGTATGGACTCCATCATCAGCTAGCCAACTTAGTTCCTCTACATGGTAAGTTCCCATTAGTTCTTCTGTTTCAACTTCATGATCATCACTTCTTCTTGAGTTCCAGTTTCATGATTGACCACTTCCTCTTGAGTTTTAGTTTCATGATTGACCACTTATTCTTGGGTTTCAATTTCATGATTGACCACATTAATGACATCACTTTGTTGGCTAACTTGTGAGCTTATATATGGTAGAATACTCTTCGAGTAATCATGCCCTTCATCAACATCTAATATTTGTTACTGCTCAAAAACACGGTTCACAGACCGGTTTAAATCAAGCTTTCTACTACATGATCCTGTTTCTCTCCTACAAGGTTTCTTTCTATTCATTTCAGATGACACACTATTAGGCTCCAACTCTTCAATAACAACTTTAGAAGGAGGCTTATAATAACTAAGTACCCTAGTCTGACCATTTTCGATATTCACCCTTATAAGTCTGTGTTTAGGGACATACGATACCATTTTAAGTACATCTTGGTCATTACCTAAACACATTAAGCCATAGTCTAAAGGGTATTCAGGGATACAAAAATGGTAGTAAAGGGTTTGCTCAGTTTTGTACCCTAGTTCTCGAACCATGTCATCAAGCTCATGAACTAAAAATAAATCAGTGTCAACATCATCTACATATGCTACAATACCATCAATGTATTTCCTTCCAAATGCTTTGGTGAAGATACCATTGTAGTGTACCTTCAACGTGAAATAATTGTCATATCCTCCTGCAAAAAAAAAAAAAAAAAAGGTAAAGTCAATGATTTCTCTATGTGAACACAATCAATGAAAAAAAACAGTTTTTTTTATAGTATTGTACCGTATCTTTTTCACAGGTCCCGCACGGTTGCGGATTTTTCTCAAAAACACCATAGCACCATTGTGATTCCTTCTACTTAAACCCTAAATCTCAATTTATGTTCTTGCTTCTAAGATAGAAATGGTGCGATGGTTACAAGTGTAACTGGATATATTCTTGGGATAGGGACAGGTTGTGGAGTTGACGTGCAAACAATAGGTAATCATTCCATATTAAAGAGTGAAGGTTACAAGTGAAATGACAAAATTGCCCTTGCAATATAATGACTAAATGGTAACGGGGTGAGCCGGAAGAACTAAACATTAAAAGTTTTGAACCCACAGGGATCATCTGTAAATTTTTTTAAAATTAATGACTAAACTTCAGATTTTATAAAACCACAGTGACATTTTTGAAGTTATGCCTGTATAATTACTTAAACTAATGGATTTATGTATGATGGCTGATATAGCTTGTTGACCCGTAATTACTCAAAACAATCTCAATAACATTATATTATGAAAAAGTCAGTTGACGATAATCTTAATAACATAAAACCTGCTAGCACGTTGTCAACTTATTTTACAAAGCTTCAAACCCCCAAGTTAGTGGGTACATGTTACAAAGAAAACGTAAACAAATCGTTTATTCGTGAGGGTCACAAAGTCGGTCTTTCTAATAACCTGACACCCTATAAATCCCTCTCGATATCGAATCCGAAATTCATCAACACTTGTACACATTGCTTTTGGATCTGCCCGATTCAAGAAACAGAACACAATGGCTCCGGTTCATCCACTATGGGGATTATGTGTCTTTGTTGCGAGCATCATGATAATCTTATCCACTTTGGATTCTGTAACCGCAGCTACATATACTTCACGAGTTCCACGTACTACACGAGTTCCGCGTACTGCACCAGTTGTTTATACACCGAGCCCTTGGACCCTCGCCCATGCTACGTTTTATGGGGACGAGTCTGCCGCTTCAACCATGGGTACGAGTTGCCTAGCTACGCATGTATTTTGGTGAAAGATAAATGCACCTACAAGGGCCCATTGATTACGTGGGCCCTCATCTGGTGTGTCAGAATCCAAAAGTAATTACAATATGAAGGTGCAAATGTTGATTGTTTTTTTTGTTGAAATTTTGTATAGGGGGTGCTTGTGGATATGGAAACATTGTGACCAACGGGTATGGAACTGATACAGCAGCATTGAGCTCTACAATCTTTACAGATGGATATGCATGTGGGCAGTGTTATCAGATTAAGTGTGTCGAATCTCCATGGTGTTCCAAAGGTGTTGCTACGATCACAGCAACAAACCTCTGCCCACCCAACTGGTCCAAAGACTCTAACGCTGGTGGATGGTGTAACCCCCCAAGAACTCATTTCGACATGGCTAAGCCCGCCTTCATGAAGATCGCACAATGGAAGGCAGGCATTGTCCCTGTCCAATACCGCAGGTATATTGTATTCCACAAATCATCAATACATTGCATGTTGATACCTTCTACAGATACAATGAAGGTCTTAATTTGTTTGTTGTTGTTGTAGGGTACCATGTATTCGGACAGGGGGTATCAGGTTCTCTTTCCAAGGAAATGGTTACTGGCTGTTGACCTATGTGATGAACGTTGGTGGTGCTGGTGATATTGGCCAAATGTGGGTTAAAGGGACCAAGACTGCATGGATCAGCATGAGCCACAACTGGGGAGCCTCATACCAAGCATTTGCCACTCTTAAAGGTCAAGCTCTCTCTTTCAAGATCACATCCTACACAACCAAACAGACCATTATGTGTAACAATGTCGCCCCGGCTAACTGGAACTTAGGTTTGACGTACCAGGCAAGCGTCAATTTTCATTAATGTAAACTGTTACAGGTTTCAAACACCTCGTCTAACATGTATTCTGTTGGTTTTTGAGAGTTGCTACCTTATATATTCGAAATGAAGGATTATTGGTTGGGTTCGGATAAGTTATCGACTTTATTCATTGCAACAATATTCGTGGTTTTGTACAATGCAAAGTACATTAATTAAATAGCAATCTGTTTTATTTTTTTACTCATGATAGTATTTAATTTGTGTTTTTTTAATTTAACTTATTTAGGGAATATGTAACTTCATCTAAAAAAAAAAAAAAAAAAAGGTAACACGGCCATATCCGTCGTTATTGATCACACCGAAACAGGTTAGCCACATAAAAATCTAGACACCATATGACAAAACCATCCATGACAGCGACGTAAATATAGGTCGCTAATATAATACAAAGTTTACTTTTCACCAACTTTACAACCATGTAAAGAACCAGAAATGGATTGTAGCGGATTGGAAACAAAATAGTATAAGAAAACTTTGTGAATATGCGACAGAATTTATAAAAGCCAATAAATTACAAAATTACAACAAATTCAGATTTTACCTGAACTCAGAAAAATCTAACTATATCAAAAATAAAACTCATGTTTCAGTCTCAACCACAACAATAAACATTCAAACATTAATCTAAAGCAAATCCAATACAAATGTTATAATTTTCATCCGTATGAAATAACTTTAGTAACTGTAAATGCTATGTGTTTTATGATATTTTATTATTTTATCTATATGTATAGAAGAAGTTTGGGTTGATCTAAACGTCAAACATCTAAAGTGAAACTTAGTAATCTCTTTTATTCATTTAACCTTAAAAATCCATATGAATACACAACTCGCATTCATTTAAGAATGGATAATTTGTCCATAAATCGGACTCTAATTATAGTTTTAAACCAAACAAAAGCGATGGAATTAACCAAAAACTAATGACATGTTTTAGTAATTTACTCTAATACGAGTATCCATTGAATAACAAGTATCCATTGCCAAGGATTGACGGCATGTTCGATCAACTACAAGGTGCGAGCTATTCAAAGATCGATCTTAGGTTAGGATATCATCAGCTGAAGGTGAGAGAGAAAGATATTGAGAAGACCGCATTCAGAACGAGATATAGACACTATGAGTTTTTGGTTATCTGTTCGGACTAACCAATGCTCCACAAGCATTTATGAATTTGATGAACATGGTTTGTAAACCATTCCTCGATAAATCTATAATAGTGATTAGGGCTGTAAACGAACCAAACGAACACGAACAAGGTCTTGTTCATGTTCGTTCGTTTAAGTTAGCCGAACAACAAACGAACACGAACGGATAAACGAACGAGATTTTCTTGTTCATGTTCGTTCGTTTAACAAAATACTTTGTTCATGTTCGTTCATTTATGTTCGCGAACATGCTAAACGAACATAAACGAACAAACATAAACGAATAAAGATAAAAAAACACAATTGAACATATATGAACATAAATGAACATATAATATAGAAATATAATAAAAAATAATTGAATATAGATGAATATAAATAAACTTAAACGAACGAATATAAACGAATGTAAATGATCATCATAAACGAACGTTCACGAACATAAATGAACAAACGAGACCATTGTTCAAGTTCGTTCATTTAACTAAACGAACGATAATTTTTGTTCATGTTCGTTCATTTATTAAATAAACGAACATAAACGAACTTCCCGCCGAACAGTTCACGAACGGTTCGTCGAACGTTCAGTTCGTTTACAGCCCTAATAGTGATCATAGATGACATTCTGATTTACTTAAATATCCAGCATGAGCATGGCAAGCACTTGCGGGAAATATTAGAAGTTTTGAACAAGGAGAAGTTGTATGTAAAATTCTCTAAATGTGATTTTTAGATTCGGTAAGTCAAATTCTTGGGTCATGTGGTTAGCCAAGAAGGAATTATGGTTGACCCAACAAAGATTGAAGATGTGATGAAATGGAAACAACCAAAAAGTCCCACTAAGATTTGTAGCTTTCTAGGATTGGTTGGATATTATAGAAGATTTATCCAAGGTTTTTCTTCGATAGCCGCTCCATTAACAACCTTAACCCATAAAGCACCTACATATACATGGAGTGAGAAACATGAAGAAGCATTCGATAAATTAAAGAAGAATTTGTGTGAAGAACCGATTCTTTCTTTACATGAGGGAGTTGAAGACTTGCAGTTTATAGTGATGTGTCTGGAGTTGGGTTAGGGTGTGTTCTGACCCAGAGAAATAAAGTGATAGCATATGCATCTCAACAAGTGAAAGATCGCGAGAAGAACTATCCCACTCATGATCTGGAGTTGATAGCAA